GTGGCTCTTCGAATTGTTTTTATTTCACAGCTGTGTCCTTTTACTTTCTGTCATCTGTTTTCTCTACTAGATTACAGGCCAGAAAAAAAGGTGTGCTTATTGTGAAGGTAGAGTCTTGTGTTATGCTACCAGTCTGGATTGCAATCCTCCTTCTTTCATTCCCTGTGTGGCTGAGGATAGCAGATATGTGTCACTATGCCCAGACATGGGGCTTCCTCTGTATCTGGTTTGTGCCACCAGGCCCAGGCATTAGTTGAGATGGAGTCCCATGAACTTTTCTGCCTGGACTGGCCTTTAACAGTGATCCTCTGATCTCTGCCTCCTAAGAAGCTAGAATTATAGGCTTGATCCACTACTCACCCAGCATTAAAGCCATTTTTAATCTACATCAAGGAACATGATTTTTTTAAATCTTAGAGCCAGTGAGGAAATTTGGATTTTGCTTATATTTTTGGTTCTGGTTTTGTTTAATAGGAAAACTTTAGTGAGTTATATTCATTTTATATTTTGAAAAACTATTTCTGGCTATAACTTGAAACTGGCAAGGGTCAAAATTCATGTAGACCAGATGAATATTTTCAGTAGAGTGGGCAGTAGATCCAAAAGAGGAAGGATGTGGAGTCTGTGATTTGGGAAATGTGAACAGATTCAAAAGATATGTAGGAAATAAAAGTGACAGACTGTCTTCTAAAGTATTAAGATGGAAATCATCAAGAGGTATCAGAGAACATGAGAGGCACAGCATGCTTGCACAGACTGATGCTAAGCTCCGGTTTGGACATACTGAGTTTAAGCTTGAGATATCCCTGGCCCTCCTAGGGATTATGGCTGCAGAGATTGTCAAAGAGTACTGGGGTTTGGACATGAACCTGTGGCTCCTTTTGCCATTCATCAGTCTGAATATAGATTGATTGTTTATAGGAAGTAGGTGGTTTAAAAAAAAAAAAAGAACAGTAAAACCAAATGTTTCAGAAAATCAAACCTGTAACAGCCCAGCAGTCAAGGGTCACTCCATTGAGGAGGAAAGAAGGAATGGAGAAGAATGAGAACAGGAGACTCCTGGGTCATGATGGAACAAGAGGGTAAGGATTCCAGGAAGGTAGGTATGGTTGTGCGTGCTCAAGGAAGAAATTAGAAACACTGGATTTTGCTGGGCATGGTAGTGCATAGTGGAATCTCAGCACTAGACGGCAGCAGGCAGGAGGATTTTTGAGTTCCACGCCAGTCTGAGCTACACAGCATGAGGCCATCTCAAAAAATGAACCAACCATAACAACAAAAAGAGTGGTTTGTACCAGCTGAGAAACTTGGCTAGGGATTGTTTTTGTTTGGTAGGTTGATTGTTTGTTGCTTTTGTTTCTTTTTATAAGTAAAGATGGTGACTGCTGATCAAGAGATCATTTTTAATTAAAATAAATTGCCAAGCATCCTGCACCAAAAATGTGCCTTAGATTTGATTCTGTCTATGGTTCTGCCTGTTTGAGAGTATTGTAGAGGTTCCTATGTTATATATGCTTTTAAGAAAATACATGAGAGCAGGCATATTGGAAAGACATGCTGATGTGTTGATGACCACAAAAATGGAGTAGAACAAGGGTGGAGTCTGAACGAGTACAATCTGAAGTTCTGGGATCTGAATCAGAGAGAAAATTTAAGCCTGTATGCCAGGGAATTCTGTGAGTCAAGCCCCACCTGTTTCTCCTATCAGAGGCATTTTTGTGGCCAGGATAAATAAATCGAGCTCTGCTCCTGAAGCACTATTGACTTACCTCTCCCACTGGTTGGCATTGCCATAGGAAGGAGCTTAGGAGTTGGGATGTCCCAGAGCACATACTCAGTGACTTCTCTGGAATGAACTACAGCCTCAGTTTCCCTCCCTGCTCTTGATGCCACACAGATGCCTGGATGCTCCCAGAGAAGAAGTGGAGTGGAATCACTATGTTGAACAAGGTGATAGTACAGACGTTAGACTGAGGCAGTGTGAGCTGAGAATGGGAGGTAAGAAGGGAAAGATGAGAGCTTGGGAAATTACCTTCAGGACTTTGGTTATAAAAGGGAAGTGAGAGACTGGACAGCAGGTGGAAATCTAAGTGGCTAAGTGAGCATTTGTTCATTCAACAAATAAAATGCTATTTTATATGTGCCAGCCATTAGCATAAACTCCAGGAAGATATTTTCTCAATAGCCTGGTGTGCTGATGCACACTTTTTTGTGGGGGTGGGGGGTCTGGTCGTGGGGCCTGAACTCTGGGCCTGGGTTCTGTCCCTCAGCTCTTCAGCTCAAGGCTAGCGCTCTACCACTTGAGCCACAGCGCCACTTCTGGCTTTTTTTCTTTTTGCTTATGTGGTGCTGGGGAATCGAACCCAGGGCCTCATGCATGCAAGGCAAGCGCTCTACCACTGAGCCACCTCCCCAGCCCAGGAAGATATTTTCTCTTCCTCGTGGAAGATCTATCATAAGACAGAGCTACTGATGCCACAGATTTTATGCATTTGGTGGATCGCAAATTTGTTTTACGATTGGTTAATTGGAGCAAATGCATCATTTTTCCTCAGATATAAAGATCTAACTTGATTTTTATAAAATGGCAAAACAAGTCTGTACTTTTTTTAAAAAAGTGAGAAAAATACCACATTCTCCTGTACTTATTTTGTTTGTTTTTTAACCTCTCTCATTTCATTTCTCTTGCCTTCAAAATTTGGGCAGTCTTACTACTGTTGCCAGTGACTTTCTAAAATAGTGTCCTTAATCCTCTATTAGGCCTTTCATGGTACTATTTGACTTCTGAAAGTCATCTAGTCATCTATTACTTAAGAGAGCACCTACAATGCCTAAGCATTGAATATGGACATGAAATTAGAAATGTGAATCATTGTTAGATTATAAATGTTCTAAGAGCAAGGACACTGCTGGATGCAGAACTGACCAAAATTAGACCACAGTAGCATGAGTATAATTTTCACAGCAGAAAAGGATACTTGGTTTGTAAGGAAGTTGTAATGATTCTTCCTCAAGGACTGGAGAAGATCCCAGAAGGAAGTGTTCTTTAAACTAGAGGTTAAAAGATGAGCATTTAAGACAGCTGTCTTAAATGGAGAGCTGTTAGAATGTTTAAACAGAAGGAGAAGGGAAGCAAAAGGAGGAAAACTGAAATCATCCAGATGACTGGGAAAGGATGGAGACCTGAACAAGGAGTACATTATATGGAGACATTTGCTGGAATGGGAGATGGTAGATGAGCTTCTGACAAGGGCCGTGGATGTATAAATGGAAATAGATCTTTTTGTGTGCAAAGTAACCATTATCAGTTGGGGTTGTTTTTTTTTTGTTTTTTTTTTTTTTTTGCCTTGTGAAGGAAAAGAAAAATGAAAACATCAAGCCTTTGAATCAGGGAGCCTGATATGGAAAGAAAATAGGGGATAAGGGTGAAGTTTCTAGTCTAGAGAAACATCCAGAAGATGTGTAAGATGCCTTGACTAGAATGGAAGTTACTGCCAAGTGGATTACATTATATAAAACCGACATTTAAGGCAAGAGACAAGGAGAAATTTTTCAGGAGTTTTCTGGGAGATAGGAAACCGGGGGTGGGAAATTTACTGGGACATGAAATTTCATGGGAGCCGAGGAAAAGCATGAATTTCACAGAGAAGTCCTTGTGCTGGGACATTCATTGCCAGAATCATCTGGCGTTATGGTTTCCCCTTTCTTCCTTTCCTTTCCCATTTAGAATGAACCGTTGTCTGTACTATCCCTCACTTGGGTCCACGTTTTATCTTCACAGCTCCTACCCCCTATTTACTAATGAGCAACCACTGACCGGGTTTCTGGCAGTCACCAGCTTTCTTCAGAAACTCCTTCTCAGTATGCAGGAAATGATTTATCAGAGCTACTATGTATTTGTTAAGGAGTCACAGAAAGGAAAGAGAACCAGATGATTTGCTAAGTGGGTGTTACTGGATTGTATTTGGATTTTCCTAACTCAACCTTCAAGTCTGTCTCTAGAAATAATACACATTTATGTAAATAATAACTAACTCTGAGAAAAATTACTAGTTTGGGCTCTTTGTCATCATTCTAATCAACCCCCCCCACCACCATTCATAACATAGTCCATTTTGCCTCCACGTTCCTGAGTTATTTTGCACATTAAAATTTTCTCCATGAATTTCAGATCAGATTAGGAAGATAAAACACTTGGTTTTGTTGGAAGAAGTGATATATTTTCCCATAAAAGTTGAAATTATTTTTACAAATTATATTTTCATTTTACTGAAAGTATGAAAATACTCAAATGTTAATTATAGCTTTATTGAATTTTAAGCTTCTTTAATCAAACAAAAAGGTTCAAAAACCAGGCAACATCCCAGACCAAAGATGGATCAGCATGCTTTACCTGAATGGGTTATATTTATAACCAGAAAATAAGGAATTGACATACAGAAATAATCTGATTGGCTAAAATTGACATTTGCCTTATATGGTCATATTTTGGCAGTTTTCAGTTTCTGGTTGGCTGGAGGCTTAACTACTGTGATTAGGCAAGACTTGGTTACTTAAGAGTTTGCTCTTAGATTAGTCTATTTACAGATCAACCTAGGATTCAGTTCACTACCTATAAAGGTTGCTTTGAGCCAAATGTATGTGAAAATAATACAGAGGCTACTGTAGACCAAATTCATTTTAATTCAACAGTGCCTTTACTGTTAGGTGAATAGTTTGCACACACCATCTCATTTGATAATGAGAACAGTCCTGTTAAATAGAGAATATTATTACTTCCAGATGAATGGTGAGGGTTGGAAACAGTGAAGTTACAGACTTGAAGTTCACTCAGACAGTGTGAGTGGGATTTGATTCTTGACAGAATATCAAACTGGGAGATTTATCTAACTAGTCGGGATAGTTTCTGTTCTGAGGAGAATTAATTGCTAACATAACAATCTTACATGGAATCGTTTTCTTGTTGATGGTGAAATAGGCCATGTTTCTATCTCCTTCAGGTTATACAACAACCAAGAAGCAAATGAAAGAGGGCTCTTCATCAAGCATTCCGGATTAAGCTATAAAAATGGAATTGAAGGCTGTTGTGCCCTTTTGTATGGTAAGTAACTACTGATTTGAGTACAATTATCTTTTCTCTTTGGATAATTTTTCTTAGGCTTTAACAAAAAAAAAAGTAGACGTAGTTCTTGTGCAAAGATGCCATGCCTGATGGATAGTATCTAGATTTCTTTTTAGGGTGTTTTATGAAGTTAAATTCAGTTTGGAGTTTTACAAATACTAGTTGTATGTGTTTTGTCTGGTAAAGAATTTGAATCATTCTGACCTGCATAGAAATTTTTTATTGTGAAAATACTGTACAGAGCCCTCCTAAACATTTTTATACTCATCTAATATTCTTCAGTAGGGTGTTTGTTTGTTGTCAGTACTGGGTCTTGAACTCAAGGCCTAGTCTGTCCCTATACCACTTCAGCCACAGCTCCCCTCCTGGCTTTTTTCTCTTTCTTTGTAGTTTATTGGAGATAAGAGTCTCATAAACTTTCCTGCCCAGGCTGGCTTCAAACTGTGATCCTCAAACCTCAGCATCCTGAGTTGCTAGAATTATAGGCATGAACCACCAATGCCTAGCCAGTAAGTTGTGTTTTGACATGTGAATTCTGAAAGTTCATGGTCACGTACAAGGATGATTTGGAAATGGCCAGATTGTGGTATAGAGGAATTTATTTTTTCATTTTATATGCTCAAGCTTGGTACATCCATCCATTTTGGCCTCTGCACTGACTCTCTGCTATTGGGAAAACTTATTATTAGGCTTCAAGTGATTAGGACCAGAGTCATCCCAAGTGAACACAATCATTTTTTGAAAGACCACGTTATTGAGGATTTTCCCCAGGACATGGTACATAAAGGGCTTAAAATGATTTGCAATGGATAGTTTACTCTCTTTTGTCTACTCATAGTAGACAAAGTCACTTGTTATTTTCGCTACTTATTTTATTTTTCTTCATATGTTTTTAGGTTCTAAGGAATATTTAAAAGAAAAATTCCTGTGTATAACTATGAATACTGTAAATTTTCATTTATTTCAATGAATTAGGGAGTAAATATATATGAATGTGTGGGAAGGCTGAGTTATAGATAACTTTTAAGCAAATGTGGCTTTTATTACCTTGAACTACAATAGAGTAACTCCAACAAAACATTACAAAGTAGAAGCCCTTAAGGCGACCTATTATAATAAATCATGTGAACATTTTATTATTAGCATATAGATTGGATATATGTAAGAGCTTGTAAAATGCCTGAGGTTCCTCAGAAATTGTTTATTCTACATCTAAAAAGTGCATATAAGGTTGAAAATGAATGTTTAAAATACTGTACATTATTTACCTATAAATAAAGTATTTTGAAGCAAAGGTAAACACCAACTCAGCCCATGAACAAATTATCAAAAGGTTTAAAATTTACTGAAGCACCAAATTAATGAGATATTACCATGTGTGCATACATAACTTAAAGAATAAAATTGCTGATCCCTCTCTCTTTTGGGTATTTGTGCTAATGAATCAGAATCCTATTTACACGATTAGTCCCCAAAGTAATTGCATATTTGAAGAGGTTCTGTCTTGTGGGTTTTCAGTTAATTAAATCCATTTGCATTTTATGCACACATTTTATATTTTCAAGCCCTATTTTTCATAAGCCAAATTCAAACATGTTCACATAATAATACCTCTCATTAAGGCATTAAGTCTTTCATTTTTTAAGTTACTTTCAGAGAAGATATATACATTAAACACTTATAAATGAAATCCCACCAGAGTATTAGAAAAGTCAACCTATTAAATCATTTTAGCTTACATTTTCTATTTGTAGTGGTGATTACTGAACAAGCCTCAAATTTTGAATGTTTCAGTTGGCTTAATTTATTCAGTGATTTCTTTTCGCCTTTATTCTGCACATCAGATTTAACTTCTAATATGCTCTTAGAATTACAAGCAATCTTTTCAAGAGATGTACATTTTAGCAGATTGATCTTGACTACCCAATTGGGAGATCAGAGTCCAATAATTTACAGTTAGAGATGATTTAAAAGGTACAGTTTCCAAAGACTTTTCAAATATTTGAGAATTAAAATGTGCAAGTAACAGAAATTATAAATGTCTTTTTTAGAGATCTTTCAGTCAACCCGACTTTGAAATACTGAAAGTCGGAAAATAGAAGAAACAAAGGAACAAGTAACAGGAGAGGAGCCAGGCAGGTGCACTGGGTCTTGTGCACTTGCCCTGGAACAGAAAATCAAAGGCTCTGGTAAAGGTGTACTGAGTCACGGTGTGGAAGCAGATTTGAAATTGTGACTAATTAAACTATATCTAGCCTAAGATTTTATCTGAATCAAAAACAAAAAACAGAAAACAAAAACAAGCTTAGGACCCATGTGGAAAAGAGAATAAGGCAAGCTAGGTGTGGTGGCAAAATGCCTAGAATCCTAACACTTGGGAGACTAAAGCAAGAGGATTGGAAATTTGAGGTCTGACAGGACTACATAGTAAGAAAAAAGAAAAAGAAGGAAGGAAGGAAGGGAAGGAGGGAGGGGAGGAAAAAAGAAATGAATAATATCCTAAAATCACAAAGAACATTGCAATTACTGTTCTTTTTAGCAATATTAGACAATAATCTAGTTGTATCATTTTAGGATTATACTATGGGTATGAGGGGAAAAAAAAACATTTTTGATACCCTGAAAAACTTTGACACCTTAAAAGAAACTAGACAAATTCCATTCAATTAAATCTTATTGATTCATTTAAGCAATGATCTATGTAAAGTGTAATTCCAATAGTCTCCTAAGAAGATAATAATTTTCTTTGTTGCTAGAATTGCCTTAAGGAAGCATCTCTTCTCATTTAGAGAAAGTAGGATAAAGTACTTGTGTTACCATTTGTATAAATTTTTAATACTGAATAAAATATTAGTGTTTAGCTTAATATTGATTCTCAGCATAATATTCTTCCATAATGGCATGCTAATTGGTTAGAATTAAATCAGACGAATTCAAGAACCCTAAGAATAGACCATCTAACACTTGTAATTTTTTTCCATTAGTTTCCAGAATTCCAATTAAAATGGAATTAATCTATTAAACAAAAGACCATGGTACAATAAAAAGTTTCTGTGCAATACACCACGTACACCTCTTCCTTCCCACTGCTCCATTTGTCAGGAGACACATGAGTGAGGGGTGGAGAGACTCAGGGAAAAGGGGCAAGCGAAAGGTCCATTTGTATTTCCGGCCCAGAGTAACTCTTCAGAAGTCATGCTATCTGCATGTAACCAACAATGCTTTCCCAGCTCACTTTTCCATTTTGAAACACAGTTTCAGTTATAATAGTTAAACAATATCAACCTCCTAAAGTTGTTGAGAAAGGAAAACAGGCAATGGGAGGGAAGCAGGTGATTTTGCCTCCTACCTTAGATATTCAGTAACTTAAAAATAGTTTTGCCTGTCACAGTTAGAAGAAATGGATGTGCTCCTAGTCTGTCGCAATTAGTGACCAGGGATGTTGCTGAGCCTCACCTGCCCCTTCCCTCCAGAGATGTACAGGATAGCCCCTCCCCAACACCAAAGAGTCATCAGCAAAGTTGTTACATCTATAAACTAAACTGTAGCATTTAAAAATTAGCATTTGGGGCTGGGAAGGTGGCTCAGTGGTAGAGCGCTTGCCTTGAGCTGAAGAGCTGAGGGACAGCGCCCAGGCCCAGAGTTCAGGCCCCATGACCGGGCCCAAAAAAAAAGAAAAAAGAAAAATAAATAAAAATTAGCATATGAAGATGGAGAGACACTGTAATAAAGCTTTGTAATAAGCACAGTCCCTTTTTCCAGTGAGTCTTCAGTAATAATAATAATATATAATAAGGATGTGTTAGAGCAGGAACTCCATGTCACCCACATGGTGTTAGTACTAATCACCATGAGCAGGTCACCAAGTCTTCTCAGTCTTCCTAAGTCTTGCCTAGCTGCTAAAGTATCTATATGAAGTTGTCAATTTTAGGTGCTTTTCGGAATAGACTGACCCACTTAAAACATAACTAAACCATCAAGCCCAAAGCTAGAATGGTGCAAAGTTCAGGGACCATCACTTCATGTGTATCTTCTCATAAATTAGTCAAAATAGGAAAAGACAAATAAAACAGTAACTTCGATGCCAGGTGATGGTCACTTTTTAACTTTAGCTGTTAATAGTAAATCTGGAGTCTCCTGATGATCATGCTTTTGTTTTATTAACTAATGTTTGAACAACTCAGGTAGGAAATATGGTTTGGGGGTTAATATAAGATCCTGATTAGCTGATTTTATGATATGTGAATATTACCAATTTCAAAACAAGCTGACTACAACAAAAGACTCTTAACTAGACAAAAGATCCTTGCTTTACACAAGAGTTTTGAGATCAGATATATGCCCTTCAAAACTCTTTGACCTTGAATAATTTGCTCATCTTCTCTGAGCTCAGTTTCTCATCTGTTTCATCTGTTTACTGGGCCTAAATTAGTGCATAGGTTTGTTGTTGGGAGACTTAAATGAAACACACATCATGTAATGTGTATTAGCAATGAAAAATAGTAGTAGTTATTATTTTAATCATTATTTCTCTGAATCAAAAGCAATTCTTCCAAGGACCTGGCATTACTTCTAGGTTTTAGTTACAGCATTCTGTTCTTACTGTATAGAATAACCGTAATGCTTAGTCTCATATTAACAAAAGAAGCTCAAATTACACCCATCACCTCAATAAACAACAATCTTCCACCCAGTTCAATAAAATTGATCTAAGAAGAAAGAAGAAAGCTTTCATATTAAACATGAAATTTCCCAGTGAGAATTTCTAAAGAAAAGTTGGATTGCCAAAATTAAAGAATAAATGATGCACATGTCTTTCTGCATATTTTAATATAGTTGATAATCCCCTTTTTAATTAGTCACCTAATTATAATTCAATCGAAATTTCCCTAGGTGAATATAGTAACCTACTTCAGAGAGAATGGGCACTTCTGCTGTTAATTTTTACATTTTGCAGATCCAAACCTTGTTCTAAAGCT